ATTTCCTGTTTGGCGGGTGCCTGGCCGTGGGGCCGGGGCGTGGCGGGCCGGACCTTTAGCACCAGACCTGCTGCGCGCCCTGCACCTCGGAGGCGGGAAGCCCCAGGGCCTTGGGGGCTCAAGACTGCTCCTCCCACCTTCCTGCCTCCTCGGATCCTTCCCTGATTTGAAAAAATGGGGCTTCTTCTCGGACCTTTCCTTACCTTCGGTTTGTTTATGAATGCATGTCTGGAAGGAACCGGAGCTCGGAGACTCGGAGCGGGGTGGTTTAGGCGGCAGAAGGAAGTTTCCTGGGGGTGGTGGAGACTTATGCTCTCGGCCTCTGCAGGCGTTTGCTTTCTGCTTTTGGGTTCCTTGCAGAGGGCAACCTGGAGGCCAGAGTCCAGGCTGACAGAAAGGGAAGAGCTAGGGTGCAGCTAGGGTGCTCAGGGTTGGTTTCGCTCGGGTATCCCACGGAAAGAGCCACTAGGAAGGTGGCTGTACGGGCAGGTGCGTGGGAGCAAGTGTCTTGGGTCTGCTGAAGCAGGAAGTGCCTTTTTGGCTGGAAGAACACTGAGGCATCTCTTGTTTTGTCTTTTTGGTACCGGGGATCGAACTCGGGTCCTTGTGCTTGTAAGGCAGGCGGCGGAACCACTGAGCTAAAGAGCTCAGAAACATTACATCTTCAAGTACAGAGCCGAGGAGGGGGTGTTACTCTACTGAGGGACATACCTAGGTGGCAGTGTGCAGGCCACACAAGCAGCCAAGCCCGTGTACCCTCTCTGACCCTAGGTTTCCTGGAAGGCATTAAATACAGCCCAGTGTATTTAAGTGAGGTTTGCTCCTCAGCAAATGACCAAATGACAGACCACGTCCTGTGCAGCTTCCTTCTCACCTCATTCCTTCCTTTTCCCCTTCTCCCTCTCCCTTCCCTTTCTTTTTTTGTTGGGAGGGGGTATAGTACTGGGAATTAAACCCAGGGCTGCCCACTGAGCTACATCCTCCAGCCCTTTTTACATTTAAACATTTTTGAGATAAGGTCCTGCTAAGTCTCTAGACTGCCTAGGCTGGGTTTGAACTTTGGATCTTCCTGCCAGAGTGCTGGGATTACAAGCATGCACACCGCACCAGTGCAGTGTTTGGTTTGCCTGGTTTCCATGTCAGGCCAGATTCTGGAGCTAAGTTAGAATCATGCCTTTTCTCTAAGCAGCATCCTGATTTGGGGAGCTGGCCCAAGAGCAGATGGTGGGGCTGTGTGATGGGTGCCCGAGACACAGCAGCTGAGCTGAGCACTGTTATTAGCTCTACTTTTCCCCCACTGGCCAGAGCTGCTGGCCTTGTCTCTGCCCTGCTTTCTCTTCCTTCCTGTTTGTGAATCCTTGATAATTGCTTCCTTGGGTTTCTAGATCCCTGCCTCTTTATCAGAGCCTGTGGCTTGGTATTCATTATTTCTTCACCCTTCCTGACTTCCCTGTTGGAAAGTCTCCTGCTGTGTGGAAAGTGGGCCTTCCTGGAGAGGCTACCTGCTGCAGGGCACCAGCAACCCCCCAGGAGCACATGGGCTGGGCTGGGACTCCTTGGCTTCCATTAGCTGGCTGTACCTGCAAGCCCTCACTTCTTCATTTTTCCTTCCCCCTAGTTCTCACTCATCTCTGCTTTTGTGAACACGTTGTGCGGTTTCTTCTGTCACTTCTGATTCTGTTGTCATCTTTCATGCTATTCACTCCTGGTCTTCTCTTCGGTTGCTGAGTTCTATTGAGCCAACTCAGTTTGTAGTCCTGGACCTGGCACTGCTGGAAGGGATGATTTCGGAGATCCATACCAAGTGGGCATTTCCCTAATGAACCTTGCGGATCTTTCTAGGATGCTGAGAAGTTAGATGGGGGGCCAGTATAGGGGGAATGTGGTCAGGACTTGTGTTCAGTTCTGCCAGTCTTCACATAGCCCTCACATCCAAACCTCAGCAGAGCTCTGAGTCCCTGGGATCACCCAGCAGTGTTGTTTGTAGCCTGGGTCCACAGATGCTGCCTCAGCTAATTCTCTTACTGCTGCCCCTAAGGTTTGCTCTCTATGTCAGCAGAGCCTAGCTCGGGTCATGCTGGGCTCCAGGGGCACTGTTGCTTTTGGTTTCCTCTTCCTTAGCTGTTTCCATTTTCCTCTCCTCTCCTTTTGTCTTCCTTCTCCCTCCCTCCCTCCTTCCCTCCCTTCCTTCTTTCGTGCCTTCCTGCCTTCTCCCCACCCCATTTCTTGGTTGTTTTGAGGTGGGGTCTCACTGTGTACTTCAGGCTGGCCTTGAATTCACTGTGCAGCCCAGTGTGGCCTTGAACTCTTAGTGCTCCTCCTGCTTCAGCCTCCTGAGTGCTGGGATTACATGCATGTGCCACCATACCTAGCTTCCTGCTTCCATTTTGGCATCCATCTTCGGTGGTACTTGTGTATCTGGCTACATCTTTTTCAAGCCCTACCCCCTGTGCTCCCATAAATGGCATCTGTGTGCTATTTTCTCTGTCTCAGGAGCCTGAGTGAATGGTGTCTGGGGATCGTGTGAGCAGCTGTGTGGATGCCAACTACGAGAGCCATTGAAGGTGACTGGGAAGCCTAGCTCACTCAGTGGATGGGTCCCTTTTGAAAATTGTGGCTGTGAAGATGCTCTAATGCAAGCACATAAGCACATACAATCAAGTCTCAGTTTCGTTAGGCAAGACTCAGTATGCCTTAGCCATGAGGACAAAGGTTGGAAAATTAGAGGCTGTGGGGTGAGAATCTGGTGTCTGGGGCTGGGCTGTACAACCCTGGCCATTCCAAGTTGCTTGCTTGTTGATCGGCCAGTTATTCATTGGTTTGCTTTTTCGCTCATTATCATAACAGACATTTACTAGGTACTCACTGACTGAGCGTGGGCTGGGCACTGAGAAAGAGTCTATCACACAGCGCCTGCCTTCAGGCCTCCAGTGTGGTGTGGAATACAGGGAGTTACATCCCATGTCATGAGTTGTAGTTTCTGGGTAAGCGCAGGGTGGGCATGAAGGAAGGCATCTGTGTAACCAGGGTGGGAAGTAACAGAGCAGGCAAGCCGGGGTAGAGGCATCTGATGTAGCAATGGGAGCGTGCAGTGTGGACCCACAGCCAGGCACCGTTGCGGTGTAGCCACACAGTCTGGACATGTTACCTCCTCTCAGCTTCTGTGGATGTAGAATGGGGTGATGCATATGTGTACAGGTCTGCCACAAGGACTCAGAAGGACACTGTATGAAAACCTCTTGTGAGTTGCAAATCATACAGTTTAATTTTTTGAGGTGGAAAAGGCTCTAAGAAAAATAAGTTCATATTAGTGGGGTACAAGTCAGGAATCCAAGAACCCCACTTGCTGGGGACCCTGACTCTACAAAGGTACTGGCTTGCCCTGCGGGGAACAGGAAAATGCTCCTGTGAGAGGTGTGGGCAGGCACCCTGCAGTGGAGACTCTTCCTGTGCTCTTTGGTTTTCGTTTCTTTCCCTTTCCAAAACTTCAAGGAGAAAGATCATCCTACGGAAAGAAAATGAATGGCCGCCACTCATCCCTTTCTGCTTCTCTTGCCTGCCCCTCCCACCAGACAAAAAAATCTCAGCTTTACCGATTCTTTCTTTGTTCTCTAAGCTTGTGTGCCGGGTGGAGAGACAGTGAGCTGGACCCAGAGGGCTGTGCGGGTGTGCACTCATGTTGCTAGGAGTGGTGGGGCAGCCTGCCGGCTCCGAGGTTATAGAGACCCTTCCATCTGCGGAGGTCCTGGGAACATCTGGAAAGTCACAGCTCCGCTTAGCAGTCTGGAAGACAGGCCTAGGACAAGACCATACTCATCCGGTAGCCCAGGCTGCTCAGTAGCCTTGGGAGTCATCAAGGGTGGGTCTGCCCAGAGGCAGCTGGGGGCTCAGGGGCTGTCATCACACGCGGTGGGACACCCAGTCTCGGTTCTCTCCCACCTGTCTACAGTGGCCAGTGGCCTCTGTCCCTCAGAGCATTGTGGTCCTGAAGTTCCTCTGGTGTCTGTTCCTTCTCTGCAGTGCGGTTCTGCCAAGGCGGTTGGCTTCTGTCTCTCCTCAGACATTAGAGTTCTTAGAAAAGGAGGGAGAAGGCTGGGGTTTTAGCTCAGTGGTGCCAGCGCTTGCCTCAAGAGCACAAAAACCACCGGAGTTTGATCCCTGGTACCAAAAAAACAAAAAAAATGGAGGGAGGATGGAAGTGTCCCCAAGGAGCCCAAGTCCTAAGATGTTGCTTATGATACTGTGCATGTGACTACTGTAACATCTGGAATACTGTTAAGCATTGCTAGCACGTGTGGGTATGTGCTGTGTATCACCCCTCTTAGAGGGGAAGGTTCCAGGATCCTCATGGACACCTAAATCTGAGATGCTTAAGTCCCTTAGATAATGAGCATGTTATAGGACTGGTTCTTAATGATAGAGACACGTTTGGAGTCCTTTGTCCTTAGTTGATTTCCTCAGGGTGCACACTTCATGAAGTGGACTTATATATATACATATCTACGTGGTAGAGCCTCCCCCAAACTAGACTCTGTGGTCTGTCCCACTGTATGTGTGGTCCATCCTTCACTGAAGGACTGTGTGGCACACAACTATTTGCATATTTGCTTGGCATGTCCTCCCAGACACTTTGTCATCTTTAAGTACTTATACTGCCTAATACAATGCAGATGCCATGGAAATCACTGTTGTATTGTTTAGGGAATAATCACAAAAACATCTGCACCTGCTCAGTATAGCTACAACTAAAATGTTATTTTTTCACTTCTGTCTTGGTGGAATCCTCAAATGTAGAACCCACAGATATGGCAGATTGATTGCTATTGTTGTTAATGTGTTATAGATTAGGAAAATACAGCACAGAGAGACTAACTGCTCAAGATCACAGAGAAGAAGGGGCTGGGACCTGTGTCAGAACCCAGTTTGGCCGATTCTGTGGTGTTTTACTGGACTGTTATGTGCAGAATAGGACTGGGCCCAAAGAACTCAGGAGGGGAGGATCACTGAAGGAAAAAATCCCCTTGATTTGGGTGAGAAACTGAGTTTCTCTTCTTGGAATGTGGCTGAAATGCCTGGGTCTAAGTGTTTCCTAGTATAGAAATGAGAACAGAAATTTCTAGGCCAGTGATGGTGAACCTTTTAGAAACCGAGTGCCCAAACTGCAATCCAAAACCCACTTATTTATTGGAAACTGCCAACATTGAAGTTAAACCTGAATACTGAAAGTTTAGTTTAGAAAAAACAACTTACCTGATGCTCGGCTGCTGGAATGACTTGGCCTGTGTGCCAACAGAGAGGACTCTGCGTGCCTGCTACAGCACGCGTGCCCTATGTTTGCCACT